CCCGACAGGCCGCCCCCCCCACCCCCCGCTCTGCCCTAATGCCCCAAGCCTCACCCATTGATCGCCCTCTGTGTGTGTGCCCGCACATGAGTATCAAATATTCTTGCATTGATGGTAGTGATTACGTGCACGTTACATGTACATGCATATGATCCCTCATCACTCCATAAAAACATCCTTCTACTACTACGACGGCAACAGTACTATTACCAGGGGGGGGTATTTTCAATATATAGGGTGCGAAGCAATTCAAGGACAGTTCGATTGAAAAGTGGACTAGATCTTTTGAAATAAAAAAACTATTTTCGGGCTTGAAACTTTTTTTTTTTGTGACATTCTTAAAACTGGCGTAAAATTATTTAGGTTCAAAAGATTTGGAAGTCAAATTTGGAAGTCAAATATGGATGTGAAACGATTTACCGTAAAATGATTTCATGTAAAATGAGTTGACATACCGTTTAAGATCAAATGATTTGATGTAAAATAATTTAATAAATGATGTTATTTCAGATGTAAAATGAAAATGACCTGAATTTGAAATGGAATGATTTGATGTGAAATGTTTTTGAAAATCTAAGTTTGATTACGTCAAACTGTTGACATAAAACAAATTCACACAAAGATTTGACAAGGATTGACTTGTTGTTACATGATTTGACTAAATAATTAAGACATAAAAATTGCTTGATGTAAAATTATTTGACATGAACTGATTTGAAATTAACACTGAGTTGTCCCCCACCCAAAAATATATATATATTTAATAGATAAGATTTTTATGCGACCAAAAATTATTTCGAGTAAAAAGAATTTGATGATAAAAGAGTTGCTCCAAAAATAATTTGATGCAAAAAAATTTGACGGATGATGATAATATGATAACCTGTCCACTGGAGTCATCGCTGTCCCTGAAAGGGTTAATTTTATTTGCCGCGTGATGAGGTCATGCACAATCATTTGGTGCAAAAACATTTAATGCTCAATAATTTAAAATAAAATAATTTCACGTGGGGCAAGCTGACATAAAATTTGACAATTTTTTTTTTTCATTTTGACATAAAATGACTGGACAAAAATAAATTTAATTTGATGTATAATGATTTCACAAATAAGGATTTGGCATACAATGATTTGATGTTAAAATGACCCAAAAAAAAAAAACTTGATGTAAGGAGAGTTCACATAATATTAAAATGATTTGGCCTGAAGAGATTTTCCATAAAAGAGTTTGACGTCAATTGGGTGTCAAGGCAGTGCATCCTCCGATGACTAATACTAATTAAGTATGTCCTCTTAAGAGTAATACAAATAAAGTATGTCTTGTGCTCAGTAGTAATAACCCTAAAGTACATCTTCTGGCAAGTAACCCTCATCACAATCAAGTATCGTGTTCTGCACGCGTGTTAATGAGCTGAGCGCGGTGCTGATTTACGCATGCTGGGACGTTTGCGCAGGAATGTTAGCGGGGATGTCGCAGCAGAGGTCCTCGATCACGTTAAAAGCGTACTCATGATTCACCTTTAACGAGACTCTCGAGTCACCATCTTTTGACTCGACTTCGCCCAATCCATCATTTCGCGTCGCCGTCGCGGCCGCCTCGCAAGGGAAGGCACCGCCGTTGGCCTCCTGCGGCAG